CCTGTGGCAGTGCGGCGCTTCTTGGAACACTTGGGATATTCCACCGGGCCGACCGGAATCTCCACCATTGCAGCCACCTCTGCAGGGGGGGGGAAGATGATGTAGATGACGAAGTGGCTTCCAGCACTGAACTGGTAGGCTTGCTCCTCCTCTACCCACACAGGCCCGCCTTTCTGCCCGTGCCACTGGATGATGGACTCGCGCAGCCAGTTCTTGACGATGGCGTGCTGGCGGTCAGCGTTGTTCTTGTTGGGCTGGTCGGTCGTGGGCAGCCCACGGACGTTCTCCCTGTGCGCCATCAAGGGGTACTCCGCCTGCAGCAAGGGAATACACATGCCAACATAGCAGCAGGGAAGATTAGTGAACGGTACTGATGTTAAATCTAACTTGTAGCGTGAGGACTGAGTAAGAAAAGACAGCTAGCGGAAGTGGGCACACCTCGTAAAACAACACCAACTCACCCCGTACAGGGCGTAGGCGAGAAGGTAGGGATACACACGCAGCTCCTGCCCGGTGACGAACTTCCACAAGGCGGCAGCGAGGAAGATCTCAAACTGCCACGTTGCAAATGGCATGCCCTTGCCATCACAGTGCCACACCAGGCAGAAGCGGCCTGCAACGAAGAAAGAAACACATGCAGGGTGACGGGCCGTGAGAACAAAGCGACAGAGCGCTACCATGGCAGCCATGTGTGGCAGGAGGTTACCTGGCTTGACAAGGGCATATGCCTTGGCTAGAGAGCGTCTCCTGCCCCCAGGTCGAACCACCTTCCAATTCAGCCCCTTGGGCATGTCCTTGACCGACCGCCGGATGTTGAGAATGGCAAACAGCACCGTCTTCCCCCACCGTATGATCGCTGCCCGCATCCGGTTCGCCACCCTTGACCATGTCTTCAGGTGGGCCTTCGAGAACTTCAGCAGGTACGCCAAGCGCGGCTCCTTGCTGGGGGGGATCGCCTGCCGTACCACAGCGTTGGCCGCCACCGTTTCATTATCCGGCCACATGGAGAGGGAATTCGGGTTGCCGTCGATCGGCACGCTGACGCTTTGTATGAAAACCCCGACCAGCTTCCCCTGCCACCAACCAAAGAGCACCAACGTGGAAAGAAACAGCAACCGGAAAACCAGTAAACCCCGGTAGCCAAAATCAGAAATCTTGAAGCACCTGGAAACCAGAAAGTATAAAGCTGGCAACTGGAATCCAGACCCAGGTAACCAGAAAGCAGGGCTCTGGAAACATGAGAGCCTATAACCAGGAAACTGGGCAGTGGAAGTCATAGAACCAGGCTATGGAAACCATAGACCAGACAACCAGAAACGTGAAACCTGAAAACTGGGCTCTGGAGCCCAGGAAACCAGAGTACAGGGCACAGGGCATTAGAAACCAGAAAACCAGAGACCATAAAACTGGGCACTGGAAACCATAGAACACGAATCCAGAGAACATGGCACTAGAAACGAGAGATCCAGAAATTATGTAACCACATGCTAAGGAAACCAGTAAACCGTAGCACATGAGAACTCACGAAACAGTTCTTACCCAATAATCTGTGCAGCGAGCACTCACCGAGAGCTCGCTAGATTTCGGGATGGTCTTTGCTATTGCCGCAAGGCCTGCGTTCCAGTCGTCGGCCAGCACGTCATCCACTGAGCCGGGAATGCCTTCCGCGTACCCCTGACCAATGGGGGTGGCCGGTGGAGGGCGTACCAATGCCTGGGCCGCTCGAATCTCTGCTGCCACACTCTTCACCTCAGTCAGCATCTTCGACAAGTCCCCGATTTGGGTGACCAGCTGCGGCAGCTGGCTCAACAGGCTCACTGCCTTCATAACTTCACCCAGCTGCGCTTGCATCGCGGACACAGCTTCAGCCAGAACGCTGTTGCTCCCAACGCCCCACTCGTGGTTAAGCATATCCTCGGCGGCCGCTGCCTGCTCCGCACCACCGTGGCGGCCTCCTCCAAGGCCCAGCAGTGAAGCCGTGCGGACTGCACACAGAAAACAGTTCCAAGACCGTGGTGAGTACGGAGTGACGAGTAAACCAGCAGGACAACGAGGCCAAATCATACCAGAGGCCCCTTCATCTTCGGCCGACTCGTCGGGATCTGCTTCCGCTGCCCGCTGGCTGCCCACCTTCTTCCTCGATGACCCAGCGCCCTTCTCTGCGAGGTAAGAAAGGATAGTCAGAAACGCGAAACCATTTAGACATCCTGCTAATGCTACAGCAGCAACATTCTTACTCCGCCGTGAAGAGCCTGCCAGATTCGCAGATGCCGTGGGGAGCGTCTGGTTCAAGATGTTGTCGCCTGTATATACCTCAAATGTGAGTTAGACGAATTTCCCCTGCAGTGAGGTGGCACCAAAATCAGGAAGGTGAGAAAGCAATTCCCATTTTCTACAACATACCCTCCTCCTCTTCGGCTTGCTCGGCCCCCTCGTCATCACCGACACGAACTTGCTTGCCCCCCTGACTCTTCGTCCACATAGCTTGTAGCATGTCGAACTGGGCCTTGCTAAGAGCGACAGCTTGAGTAGGTTCCTTCTGCTGCCGCGGCACTTTGAACTGCTTCTTGCCTATGCGATCGTTGACCCATAGCCCGCCAGTCAGGGAGGTGTTCGGCTTACGCACGCGAACCCCTTCTTCGGCGATAATGGTGGAGTTGGGCGCCATTGCTGCTTGCCAGGACAGAGCTCTGTCCCAAACAGCGACTTTCTGCTGGGGTTAGTCATCTGCCACCGTGAGTAAAAAAACCAGCCTGAGGTTGGACGCCAGGGCGAAATGTTGATGTCCCTGCTTGGGATGGGAGTGGCGGCGCCAGCCTAGTGGCGAATGAGTTGGGAATTTGGTGTGACTCTGAGCTGGGAAACATATTCGTGAGGAGACTCGTGGCCGTCGATCTACGTCAAGATCGACGGCAGCCCGTGGTTGAAGTATCAAAGCTGTGACATAACAGAAACAGATCACAGCCAGCGAATCAGGGCATGCGAGCTACATTGGCCCAGGGTTTGGCTGCGAAACGCTCGGCGACGAAGGGTCCAGCGTGGCAAAACGCATCATCCAGAAATTGGAGCTGCACGACTGCGACGACATTCATACGCGGGACAAATTCCGTGCTGTAACGTCTTTCATGGCGACAGTTCAGAATTCTGCGATACATTCTTGTCATCTAATCAATCCTCATAATCTCCCTTTTTGAGGAAATTCATACAAGGGCTACGCAATGTCATGTAAGTCCAAATTGTTCTAGCGCACACTGCGGGAGACAGCTAAGCACGCAGAACCTCACTGCGCTCGGCTAGTAACAGGAGCTGGTGCGGCGCAAATACAATAAACATTCCACTGCGAAGTCTTACACACTCATTTAATGGCTAAAGAACGCAACGCCACACTGTGGTACCAACTGTGTGCACACCACCGCAGTTTCCGCATGCAACTCCGCCCTAGGGCAGGAGGCGCTCGTAAATACGAAGGAACGAGTGGAGCTCGCACAGCTCGCTTTTCTGGGAGAGCTCCTTGTAAATTTCTACAAACGCGTCAGCCCTGGAAAAGACTGTTGCATGCCGCGCTCCACGAAAGCTTGTGCCAGCTGTATCAAGACAGCCACAGAAGCCAGGTTAAGTCCATAGAAGTTAGGAAAATGAGAGGCCCGTAGTGCTATAACGATAGGAAAGGCCCAAGGGGTTAGGCAAAATAGCTTCCAGAAGGCATGCGACTAAAGAGAAGCATCAAAACAGCCTCACCTTCCGGCATAACAGACCGGTCTGCAACGGGATCGTCGTCGCGGACGACTTCGTGCACTCCGCCTCTGGGCACAACGAGGTGCTTCACAACAGTGCCTTCGGGCTTGTCCCCGGTATATCCATTGCACAGGCATCGAACGCGCCACGCAGCACAAACCGTAGGCTCTGCGGGTTCCTTCCCTTTCTCCGAAGCTGACGGAGTGTCCCGAGGGTTTCGCTTTGGGTATTTCTTTGACTTCCGTTCAAGACGCGGCCAGAAATCATCTGCGAGCGGATCTAGGGGGCCGGAATCCGAGACTGGCGCCGGCTCGTTCTCCGGACTATCGTCGGCATCCCCCTGCGAGTCTTCAATCACCGGCAAGCCTTCCTCGCTTTTCATCTTAAGCGACGGTTGACCTCGCTCAACTTTCAGCATGGCAAGAGCTAGACTAGCGTGGAAATGATAGAGAATTGGCTACTTGTGCCTGAGTCCCAACTGCTTAGTATGGGAGGCTCATCACAGTTGGCACGTGAGTGTGCAACCTGGGACCGCCCAATTGTGGTTTCGTTTAGGGTTTTGCAGGTGTGCAACCCTTTTCCAACCGGTTCTTCGTCATCTGTGGTGCTCGTGAAAAGAAATGTGCCTGGGCACACCCTCGCACATCTGAAGTGACAGGCGGCTCGTTGGGAAACCCAATTCGTGTATTTGCAAAGGTGGCGAAGTTGACACGTGTACACTCTTCGAGTCACCACTGCAGGTATAGACCAATCGGACAGATCCAAGAGACCTCGATCCGACCCATCACAATTGCCGGGGTAGTTTGATGGCTTCGCTTAACGCACAGACAAGTCAACAACTCATAACGTCACACATTTCGTGCTGCCCAGCACTCTGGTGGCAATCGATACCGCGCGTGCAAAAAGAGGAGGGCTGCAAGAACGGATACCCACAATTCGCAATGACACCTTCCCATTCCCACCATCCCAAAAGTTCCCTCGCATGTGTATGCTTCCACGCCTTGGTACAAGGTCAGCGCCGTGCAGCCAGCAGTCTTTAGTAAGACCCATCTGATCCTGATCGCAAAATCCAGCACAGACGTGTGGAATGCAATGAAATTTTACCAAAATGCTCTTCACTGGAAAATGCTACTTACGTAAGCGCAATCAGACCCAACGTTTTTCCCCGCATCGCTGCCCGACCCTCCCATTTTCTCACACCATCCCAGCCTCAGGCGATTTGCCAAAAAGGCCCGATTGGAACAGAGTCCACTGTTCTACAAACTTGAGCACCGAATAATGCGGACGAAGGGAAGGGGGCTCAGTGCTAGAGAGGCAACGCTTCCCAAGGCGCAGTAGCAGAATACTTAGGACTAAGATGCATCCTACGATACCTTAGTCCCAGATTCCCCGCCAAATGTGCAGCCACCACAGAGCTAGACCGGGATCCCCGGAGATGATCTGTCAGCCTCTTCGTTTGCCGGCGGTCGCCATGTTCTTCTCCGCATTCTTTTTGCCATTTATTGCGGCTGGAGTCGTGGCCTGTGGAAAATGTCGGAAATCGTTCGACACCACCACTGCCATGCGAGCGCACTTTGATCGTAACAACGCTTGCATCCACACGCCAGCGCAATGGCCACCGCGAGAAGTGCAGAGGCTGTCTCACAGTGCGGTCGGTGGAGTAGGGGGACACGTTGGGCTACGGCATGCGCCTGCTACTGTCGGAAGTCGTGGTGTGGATCGTCGCCCGAGGCTCGAGGATAATGGGGCTGTGCCGTGCAATCCGCCGACTGTCCCCACGGCGTTTGAACAGCCCGATGCCCTTCACGACTCTGGAGGTGGGGGAAGCGGAGGTGAGGGAAGCGGAGGTGCAGGTGGCGCACGTGTTGCGCCACCGTTGAACACAACATATGCAGAGGTCGCCTCTGACGTAGCGGACGAAGCATCAGCGCTCCCCGCCTTCGACACTCGCAGAGAGGTCTTCAATTTTTTGAAGGAGTTTCGTAATGGGGTTGGCATGACGCAAGCCGAGGCTAAGCGCTTTTTCAGACTGATTAATCACCCTCTCTTTGATAAGGCGGAGATTTCACAGTGGAAGGGGATGCGGGATGTCGAGCGTTACGCCTGCGAGGTGCTAGGCAAGCATCATGGAACCTGGCGAAAGGAGCGGGTGTTTGTGGAAGGGATGACGGAGGCCGTTGAGCTTGAATACTGCGATACCCTGGAGGTGAGTGCTCGTCATGTCAGAAGCACGGTGTTTAGGGTGCACGTCATAGCCCACCAGCTCGTTTGCTCATCCTTCCCCCAATCTGCTGTTTCACAGGCGCTCAAAGATATGTTCGGGAATCCTCAGAACAGTGGTGGTTTCAAACTCCATCCTGAGACGGCGTACACAGAGGGCAGCAAGCGCATATTTGGCCGCCCAGAGACGGGCATGTGGTGGGAGGCCGCCCAGGTAGGCTGAGGCTTGTACGGGTGCCCAGTGGGCTGGTCTCACATTGACCCCGCGCAGGTGTCTATCCCTAATGATCCCTGCCTCTTCCCCGCAGGCCGCATTACCAAGCCGTGACGACGTTGTGGCCGCGTTGATCGCCTCTAGCGACGTGACGCACCTGAGCCACAACGGTCGGCAAAAGGTCTGGCCCCTCCAAATATCTCTGGCGAATATCCCGCGAGAGGCTCGTTGGAAGATGAGTGCTCGAGCCATGGTCGCCTTGCTGCCTCTGCCCGACACGGATCTGCCATCGGAGGTTAAGACCCGGCTCTTCCACGCGTGCTTGGACATTGTGTTCGCACCTCTTGTCAAAGCTTCAAAGTCGTAAGTTTTAGTCCTCCTTTCCACATGTTATGTGCTCCTCTGTGCGCTGCACCCCATGCTCGGTGATGCATTGGGAGCTCATGAGCCTGCGCTCGCACCTCTGCAGGTCCATTGCCATCACCGACCCATTTGGCGTGACTCAGCGGGTGTTCCCGCTGATGTACGCTTACGTCGGTGACTACCCTGAGACGTGCAGGGTCACAGGGACGATGCAGCATGGCTGCAAGATGCCATGCTCGCTATGCCAAGTCCCTGCAGAGCTGCTTGATTGCTTGGACCGCAAGTTTCCTTGGCGCACCATGTTTGAGCAGCAGCAAGCGCTCGCTTCGAAGGAGCGAGCGAGGAACATGGGGACGCACAATGTCGAGGTAAGCGTGTTCTGCCTCTCGCCTGTTTTGTTCTGGCTCTCACGGCTTCTATTTTGCCTCTCTCTTGTTCTGCGTTGCACCTCACTTGCACTGTTTTGGCTCTCTTGTTCTGTTCTATCTCTGTTTCCCCAGCTCTGAATCTGGCCCTTATTCCCCAGCTCAGAATCTGGCCCTGTTTCCCCAGCTCAGAAACTGACTCTGTTTCCCCAGGTCAGAATCTGATTCTGTTTCCCCAGCTCGGAATCTGGCCCTGTTTCCCCAGCTCTGAATCTGGCCCTTATTCCCTAGCTCGGAATCTGACCCTGTTTCCCCAGCTCGGAATCTGGCCCTGTTTCCCCAGCTCGGAATCTGGCCCTGTTTCCCCAGCTCAGAAACTGACCCTGTTTCCCCAGCTCGGATTCTCACCCTGATTCCCCAGCTCTGAATCTGGCCCTTATTCCCCAGCTCGGAATCTGACCCTGTTTCCCCAGCTCGGAATCTGGCCCTGTTTCCCCAGCTCTGAATCTGGCCCTTATTCCCCAGCTCGGAATCTGACCCTGTTTCCCCAGCTCGGAATCTGGCCCTGTTTCCCCAGCTCTGAATCTGGCCCTTATTCCCCAGCTCGGAATCTGACCCTGTTTCCCCAGCTCGGAATCTGGCCCTGTTTCCCCAGCTCTGAATCTGGCCCTTATTCCCCAGCTCGGAATCTGGCCCTTATTCCCCAGCTCGGAATCTGGCCCTGTTTCCCCAGCTCTGAATCTGGCCCTTATTCCCCAGCTCGGAATCTGACCCTGTTTCCCCAGCTCGGAATCTGGCCCTGTTTCCCCAGCTCAGAATCTGGCCCTGTTTCCCCAGCTCTGAATCTGGCCCTTATTCCCCAGCTCTGAATCTGGCCCTTATTCCCCAGCTCGGAATCTGACCCTGTTTCCCCAGCTCGGAATCTGGCCCTGTTTCCCCAGCTCTGAATCTGGCCCTTATTCCCCAGCTCTGAATCTGGCCCTTATTCCCCAGCTCGGAATCTGGCCCTGTTTCCCCAGCTCTGAATCTGGCCCTTATTCCCCAGCTCGGAATCTGACCCTGTTTCCCCAGCTCGGAATCTGGCCCTGTTTCCCCAGCTCAGAATCTCATCCTGATTCCCCAGCTCTGAATCTGGCCCTTATTCCCCAGCTCAGAAACTGACCCTGTTTCCCCAGCTCGGATTCTCACCCTGTTTCCCCAGCTCTGAATCTGGCCCTTATTCCCCAGCTCGGAATCTGACCCTGTTTCCCCAGCTCGGAATCTGGCCCTGTTTCCCCAGCTCTGAATCTGGCCCTTATTCCCCAGCGCAGAATCTCATCCTGATTCCCCAGCTCGGATTCTGGCCCTTATTCCCCAGCTCAGAATCTCATCCTGATTCCCCAGCTCTGAATCTGGCCCTTATTCCCCAGCTCAGAAACTGACCCTGTTTCCCCAGCTCGGATTCTCACCCTGTTTCCCCAGCTCTGAATCTGGCCCTTATTCCCCAGCTCGGAATCTGACCCTGTTTCCCCAGCTCGGAATCTGGCCCTGTTTCCCCAGCTCTGAATCTGGCCCTTATTCCCCAGCTCGGAATCTGACCCTGTTTCCCCAGCTCGGAATCTGGCCCTGTTTCCCCAGCTCTGAATCTGGCCCTTATTCCCCAGCTCAGAATCTCATCCTGATTCCCCAGCTCTGAATCTGGCCCTTATTCCCCAGCTCAGAAACTGACCCTGTTTCCCCAGCTCGGATTCTCACCCTGTTTCCCCAGCTCTGAATCTGGCCCTTATTCCCCAGCTCGGAATCTGACCCTGTTTCCCCAGCTCGGAATCTGGCCCTGTTTCCCCAGCTCTGAATCTGGCCCTTATTCCCCAGCTCAGAATCTCATCCTGATTCCCCAGCTCGGATTCTGGCCCTGTTTCCTAAGCTCGGAATCTCACCCTGATTCCCCAGCTCAGAATCTGACCCTGTTTTGCCTCCCTTGGTCTGTTTTGCCTTTTTCTCCGTTTTGTCCCTTCCCTCATAATTCCTGATCCTTCCAATACAGAATGTGTTTTGGAAGTGGAACCACGCCAAGACGGAATGGGGCAACCCATACCAGATTGTTGTCCCAGATGTGCTGCATGCCGTTGACATTGGCATCTGGAAGCACATTTTGCACCAACTTGTGGCTTCGTGTGGCGCCTCGGTGTTGGTAGAGTTCGATCGGTAAGCAAGGGTTTCCAGTCGGCCGCTTGTCCTTCTGGCGACACAGTCATTAACCCCCTCGTTCTGTCCCGGAACGTGTCCCCGCTTTCGCTCGTAGGCGTCATGAGGTGCTTTACAAGGAGGCTCGAGCTGCGGGCCTGAAGCTGCCCAAACCTGGGAAATACTTTCAAACGGCTGGCTGCGGCTATTCAGCATCCGAACACCGTGCGATGATGCAAGTAACATTATTTATCTTGCACGGAAAAGTTCTGGACACGGTGCTAGACTTGGTGCAATCGTTTCTGTCTTGGTACACCCTGTGTTTCAGACGCCCGCACCACACCCGCGAGACCTTGAAGGATGTGGTCATTCGTTCCCAAAAGTAAGTGTTGCTCTCATTCTCCGACATCTTCATAGCGTAAGCGTTATGGCCAGCCGCACATCCCTAATGGCATTTCTGCTGGCCCCTCCCTTCTTCCCAGCCTCATTGCCATGTGCAAGCGGGTTTTTGCCTTTCAGAAGTCGCACTGGAAACTAGTGAAGATGCATCTCATCTCTCACTTTCCGTGGGCCATCATGAGCCGTGGCATTCCGGAGGAGTATTCTACCAACACGTACGAACACAGTCACACCTCTCTTGTAAAGCGCCCATACCGGCTTTCCAACCGTCGCCAAATCAACAGCACCATCATTGCTGTCGACGAAGTGCGTCGCTGGATGCGGGCACTTCCCTCTGCTCTTCAGGACGACACCAAGTATCTGTCCGCCATGAAACTGGTAACCGCATCACGATCCCATAGGCCCTCCATGTCACACAGTATGACTACCCTCATCTGCCAACATGTCGGCCTCATTTGTCACGCTGCCCACATCTCCCCTTATAGGCAATGGAAACCGGAAGGCGGACGCTCACCAAAGCATCCAGCGCAATGGTGCTTGAGCTGGCTGCGGGGCACAAGCGCGTCGTGGATGACCCATGGGAGAAGTACAACCAAGAACTGGAGGGCGCCATGAGTTTCCTCCCAGCGGCAGCAGCGGTTGCTGGTGTCGAGGCCCAGTGCCTGCAGGTGAGGGTGCTTGCCTTCTCTGCTGCGGTCGTGGCTGCTGCTCATGCCATCCTGCTGGCCTAGGCGCTACATATTTCCTTTCATAAGCTTCTGTCTGTCCCATCTTCTCCTAAGATGGACACACGTGCAGTATTGATAATGTGTGCAGAGGCACACGTGTGCAGAGGGACTCGTATGCAGAGGGACACATGTGCAGAGGGACACATGTGCAGAGGGACACATGTGCAGAGGGACACATGTGCAGAGGGACACATGTGCAGAGGTACACATGTGCAGGGGGACACATGCGCAGAGTCACACATGTGCAGAGGTACACATGTGCAGAGCCACGCATGGGCAGAGCCACACACGGGCAGAGCCACACACAGGCAGAGCCACGCATGGGCAGAGCCACCCACGGGCAGAGCCACACATTGGCAGGCAGAGCCACACACGGGCAGAGCCACACATTGGCAGGCAGAGCCACACGCGGGCAGAGCCACACATTGGCAGGCAGAGCCACACGCGGGCAGAGCCACACACAGGCAGAGCCACACACGGGCAGAGCCACACTCGGGCAGAGCCACACACTGGCAGAGCCACGCACGGGCAGAGCCACACACGGGCAGAGCCACACATGGGCAGAGCCACACACGGGCAGAGCCACACATGGGCAGAGCCACACACGGGCAGACCACACACGGGCAGACCACACACGGGCACAGCCAAACATGGGCAGAGCCACATATGGGCATAGCCACTCATGGGCAGAGCCACACATGGGCAGAGCCCGATTGTGTTCCTTGCCATGTGTGTTCTGCCACATATGTGTTCTGTTTCAATTGGGTTCTGCCCCTACTGTGCTTTTGGCCCAATTGTGCCCTGTCCTTCATCTGTTCTGTATCAAGCATGATCTATCTGGCAGTTTGCTACCCGCCCTTCTCTCAATTGACTCCGCCTCTGCATGTGGTCGTGCACCAGTCACTGTCGGTGCTCTCGTTAACCATTGTACTTCCTTAACCACGCTGCCCCCCAACTTATCAAACCCCCCGCCTCTAAAGCCGTCCTGCTGCCGATATCCCCACTTCTCATGGCAATGCATTCCCCAGTCACTCGGGTCTATTGGGCTCAACCCAGGAGGGATTCCCCCCCCACTCAGTTTCCCGTATGCAGCCACTCCTATCCTGACCGTGCAGTTTGTGTTCCTGTCTCCCTCTACCCCCCCCCCCCCTCCGCCCCCCGGTTACCTCTTTCCCCTGCTTATAATTCCCGCCCCTCCCCCTCCCCCCCTTCAATTACTGCGAACGTGCTCTCCCCTTCTATGCTGCAATGCTTCCTGCATGCCCTTTGTTGTGAGCAGGTCCACTCAGCGCTGGCGATTCCTGCAGGTGACCCACATCTCGGGGAGCCAGTGGAGAACGAGTGGGCCAGAGCCACTCCCAGCTTTCACGGCAAGCCCTGCTTTTCGCACGTGTGGGCCGAGCATGGCGGTGGTCCAGTGCTTGGGAAAGTTCTGCTTTTTTTCCACGCTTCGGGAGCACCGCATGCTGGTTATGCATTCATGCGGCTGCTGCAGGTGTCCGGCACAGATGATTGCACTGGCCTCGACCGGTTCAGCTTCTCGGCTGACGGGGCGGCACCAGCCGGCTTCGCCGTGGTTCCTCTTGGGAATGTCAAGCGAGTTGCCCATGTTGTGAGGTCTTTTAAGGAGCCCTCAGAGTGGCTCCTCAACGCCTATGTGTTCTAGTTTCGACGTGAAACCCTGATCACATAGCATGTGCCGCCTTTGATGGCGGCTGCAGTCAAAGGCCCAATCTGCTGGCACCTGACGTGTAAACCCTCGATTCAAATTCCAACACACTGGAACAAGGCAGTCGCTGCTTAGTGCCCTTTGTGGCCTTGTGTGGCTATGGCAAGTCCCTCCTACGCTGTCCACGTCTCTCTGTACATGATAAACAATTGGTTTCTGTTTTTAAATTCTGGATCCCATGTACCCGGGCCACGTGTCTTACATCACAAAATTTGTGGCCCCAGAATCATGCCCCCCAACGTAGGATACTTTGTGGAATGCCATGGGTGCACTGTGCGAAGTGTTCCGCAACATGCACCGAGCTATGTTACCAGGGCGGGGATCTGGGGACCGACTTTGTCCAGAGTTCCACGAAAGCGCACAGCAGTGTCGTAACAGCGTAGAGGCGGGGTGGGCTTTTAGAGTGATATGTTACATGATTTAGGGTAGAGCTATATGGTTGAGGTAAAACGATTTCATTATGTTTTTATGTAACATTTGAAGCTAAGTTACATTCATAGTGTGAAGAGTAGAACTCAAGAGACTGGAAGTTATATTGTGGTGTACATTCCAGAATTAAAGAGATCGGAAGATACACATGTTTAGGGCACCACAACGGAACAGTGATGAGATTCAAAACTCAGGGTAGAGGATAATGGAACATGGACCGTTTGTGAGACGGACTACATGTGTAATTCAGGATGGGGCGGTATGCAGCGGAGTATGGGAGTTGGAGAGAGGCCAGGAGCCAAATGAAACAGCTCGACCATGGCCATGCGGGACTAAAGCTGTGAGGTGGGGTATCCTCCCAGCATGGCGTAGTGGAGTAGTTAAGACCAGGCAGCTCGGCAAGGGACCAGCCTGGGAAAGCCACCATTGGGGGGAAGGGGGGGGAAAGGAGGAGAGGGGAAATGGAAGAAGAGCACAACATAAATGGGATGTCATGTCCAGGGCTTCATCAACACCAGCCACTTCCACGGCACACTAAGGATATGCTTGCCGCTGCACAACCTGAAGCGTCTAGCAGGTTGAGGCCAACGCGCGCCTAGCCAGCATTTGCATCCTTTCAGCTGTCTGGTGCTGAGAATAAATTGCGATGGCTTGATCTTCTAAGAAGGCAATAGTGGACACGGGGAAGGGGATGGGCAAATGGGAAACCACTCAGATAGATGGATAGATAGGTAGATGGGCGTATATGGGCGTAGTTCCAGAATGCGGACAGGGGGGTTTAAGGCTATGGCAGATTACCAGCAAGATTACCCGTGATGGGTCTTCGCAGATGAGCCCATCGATTAAGTAGCCATACTCCTTTCCGCTCAAATGACTTCACAATGTGCACAACGCCAGTGAGACGTTCGATGGGCAGGACCAAATACTCATCACCAGCCACACCTCGGTGCAGGATAGTGCAGCCGGTGATGTCATCCACTTCACCGGTGGTCCACGCGCGCACATATGCGACTGCGCGTTTCATACCTGCCTGCGGCCCCACTAGCCTTTCTGCTCGCAGTAGCAGCAAGAGCTGACCGTACATAGGCCGTCCTCTGCTACTCAAAAAGCTCACGCATGAAAAGGTCGGCCTCCCTTGGTTCTTAATAGCTGCCCGTGCATACCAGCAGCCAGGCTGGCCATCGACGTCACGGGCCGGAATTGCTACAGCCCTATGAACCTGTACGAATAACTCAGTGGTCCGTGACCAATGACAGAACATTGCATTCATCATGTTGATGCTAAGGGAAGGAAGAACTGGATGGCAGGGACTCAACTACCTTCGCACATACATACCTCTGCCGGAAAGCTTTGGTAGCCAGAGCGCCTCATTGTCTCACCGTATGGTCCCATGTTTCCACCATTTGCTTCCACGTAGCTGGTGTAGAGGTCGGTGCAGGATCCGGGGTTAGCAAATCCATACGTCATTACCTCCGAATCCTTGGTGAGCTTGGGCACGCCTGTCTGCATGGCCTGCAGAAGGAATAGGAATTATCCGCCCCACAATGACGTTCCGCCACAGCCCACATTCAAGAATGGCATTGGGTGCTCGACAAGCTTTGAAGAGGGAAACGAGGGTTGTAGGGAATGGCTAGGGGTTGGCTGGCCAATAAGGCCAGCTCACTGATCATACATGATGGGCGGCAATATTATTGCAACTGATCAGAAGCACAAGGTAACAGAGGGTTTCTTACCCGTGCACCTGCAGTGTTGTACTTGCGTGGCGGCGGGAGCGAGCTCTTGACACGGTGCAGCAACTCTTGAGTTACATTGTGCTTCAGGATGGTGTCCTCATACTGGCGATGGTTCGATGTCCGATATGGCTGCCTGCAAAGGCGTGAGTGGGCATTTTCAAAAACAGCAGCAGCAAACTCCCGTGGCAAGCCGCCTCGACGAATCGAGCCAGGGGGATGGCTGCAGTAGGGATTTCTGAAGCAGGGGGAAACAGGTGGTGGGGGATCCTGAAGCAGGGGAGTGGCAGCAGAGGGGCTTTATGATGGCAGCAATGAGGGAATCTGAAGCTGTGAGGAAGGAGGTGGTGGGGGATCGTGAAGCAGGGGGATGGCAGCAGCAGCAGTTGAGGGGGGGGTAGTGGTGGAGAGGGGTGAGGGGGAGGGTTGTTCTGAAGCAAGTGTAAATGCATCAGTGGGGGTTTTATGGGCAGAGAGGAAAACAACAGCGGGGGAGACGGAACTAAGGTAAACGCAGCAGTGGGGGTTTCTGCAGCAGGGAGGAAAGAGGTGGTGGGGGATCCTAAAGCAGGGGGATGGCAGCAATGGGGGTTTCTGAAGCTTGGGGATGGCAGCAATGGGGGTTTCTGAAGCAGGGGGATGGCAGCAGTTGGGGTTTCTGAAACAGGAGGGAAGGAGGTGGTGGGGGATAGTGAAGCAGGGGGATGGCAGCAGCAGCAGGAGGGGGGGGGGGGGGGTTGTTCTGAAGCAAGAGTAAAAGCAGCAGCGGGGGTTTATGGGGAGACGGAAGCAAGATAAACACAGCAATGGGGGTTTCTGAAGCTGGGGGGAAGGAGGTGGTGGGGGATCCGAAAGCAGTGGGGGTTTCCGAAGCAAGGGGGGAAGGAGGTGGTGGGGGGGGAGGGGAGGGGGTGGGGCAGGGCGGAGGGTTGGTGTAGGGTGGGTTTAAGTCTGGGGGGAGAGTATCAGGGGGGATTCGAAGGCAGGAAGGCAGGATTGGGCGTGGGTTGGGTGGCCGGTTTCGAAGCCCGGCTGCAAACAGCGGAGTGTGCATCCGGCGTCTTACCCGTCGTCGTGACTCGTGACTGTACCGAGGGTCGCAGAGTTGTCCAGGGGGGTGCTGATCTTCTTCGACTTTTTTTCACATGCACGCATGGCGGGTAGGGATCTTGCCCTGGATGCCAAAAGAGGGCAATACGACGCTTGCGGTGTATGCATTAGGGAGACTTCGGCGGGAATTGTTGAATCCACCCTGCCCTATCAAGCATGAGGGGAGGGCCATGCTCTATACCCTGTACATACAATCTTCTTATATGATAAGATGACCCTAGGACATTTTACAATGTCTCCAATAGATATCCCCATATTAATAAGCATAATCTAGCATTACCGAATGGCAACACGCGTTGGAAATATCGATAATCACGTAGTGACAGTATAGAAGGGCTCAATTTTGTCACAATGTTAATACACGGTAAACGTCTCTTGGCATTATTGAAGGCTCATTTGTGTCACAATTTAGCCAGATTAATATACCATCTATCTGTATGCGTTAGGCAAAACAGTCCGTACATAGTTTGTTACAAATCTCTGTAATCTAAACGCCCACGCACTACCGAAGTTGCAGGGTGTATTCCTGGCGTGTTTGGTAGGTGTGGCAGCAGTGTTGTAAGAATGCACCGGGCTTCTTTACGCAAACCCTGGCCACTCCGCGCCTCATTCCCACAACTATCCCTCGCACAACATACAGTGAAATATGTCACAAGCATGTTTGGGCATACTTTTTTTAGCACCAAATTTTGAGACGTATCAGACCGTCGTGTGAGCCAATTTTGCAAGTGTTGGAGTTTATAATCGGGTTCTTTTTTAGCTCCCTCGTGATCTGATGATTGTAGCTGTGTTCGCGAGGGCTGTTGCCCAAAACGCGCCCTGTTATCTCGAGCACATCGAACATCCAATTTTCTGCGCGCTCGAGCCGCAACACGTTTAAATGTGCGCGCTTCGACTTCAGCGTCCTCCAATCGTGTGTCGAATGTCGATGCTGTTGGAATTACATGATTGGTGCTCTGGTGCTGAATCCTTTCGGATGATAGGCTGACTGTTGGCCCAATCACGACGATGGGGGCTTGTCCTGAGTGCCTGCATCGCCTTTGCGTGGTTTGTTGTCATGTCGGGATGCAGGGGGAAGGCAGTGAAGTGTATCCTGGCGCCTGGATTATGCTTCTTGTGCACTAAGGTTGGACTTTGGGGCCCTGTATGCAGGTGCGACATAGTCTCTCTGTACAAAGCCCTCGTTGCCGAAGGCATAGCTGCTACAGAGCCTGAGTACCTGCTTCGTACGCATTCCCTCTCCACCTACTCCCCACGGTCTTTGTAAACCCTTAGTTGCGCCGGGCCAACCCACCCCTCAAGAAATTTTTGGGATCATGGAGGACTGCGCTATGGGGGATGGTGGCGCCATGGGGGGCGCCATGGGGGGAGGTGGCGCCATGGGGGGCGGCGCCATGGCGGGTGGTGCCAGCGCCATGGCGGGTGGTGGCGCCATGGGGGGCGGTGCAATAGGGGACGGCGCTCTGGAGGATGGTGGCGCGGCCGACATCACACCTGTCGGCCGCCGCGCCGGCGCCCCTGGCTGGGCCAGCAACTTTCCGCATGGTCCTTCTGATCTCATGGGTCACCCGCAAGAGGGGCACGCCATGGGTATTACTAGCACTTCTGGGGGTAGTACCCCTGCTAGGAGCAGTACCCCTAGTCGGCGTGGTACCCCTTGTAGGGGTCGAACCTCGGAGGTGGAGACAGTGAGGTCTCAGCCGGCGGTAATAGCCAGCCTGGAGAACATCGTGACATGGCTTCCGTTGATGATGACACGTGGCAGCAGCACGACAGCAGCAGAGCAGCAGCAGCACCACCATCAACAACAAGAGCAGCAGCACCACCACCACCATCAGCAGCAGCAGCTGCATCTGCTGCAGCAGCAGTGGCCGCAGTGGCAGAACCTGTGGCAGCACCAGTGGCAGCAGCACCAGTGGCAGCAGCAGCAGTGGCAGCAGCACCGGTGGCAGCAGCAGCAGCAGGAGCAGCAGTGGCAGCATGGAGCGGAGAGTAATCGCATGATGCAGCTAATGTTGATGGCGATAGACGACGATGCAGCAGCAGCAGCGGCAGCAGCAGCAGCAGCACCACCACCACCACCACGACCATCAGCAGCAGCAGCAGCAGCCACAGGGGGAGGTTGCACGCAGTCCCAACAGCCGTGGGGTCAGACCCTTGGTGGCTTTCCCCCCTCGCCA